TTGTTACAGCAAGTTAGGACTTAATGTGTCCTATGGTGTTTTGGGCAAGAATCTCTTGTATCTCTGGCCCAGAAATTGGTACACTGGATGGGAAATTTTACAGGTTCAGGTAAGGATGATTAGTTGCCAAGTGGGTAAGTAATGAAAGTCAAACCTACAGTAGTATAATTATGTTAAAGAATAATGTGTGCTTCTTTGATATTTAAGCATCTGATGTTTGAAAGTTTAGCCTGTTAGAGAAAAGTAACCGATTTAGACTTTTGGTTTACATTGAAACCTACCTTTATGAACAGTATTGGAATATTTAATAGAATTTATTTCCCTCCTCTCCCATTTTTTACTTTCAGATTCAAGAGATTTTATAGCATCTGCAATAGTTCATCAGATAATATCAAAACAATGTAATAAGCTTATGTTTCTTACAGTTTAATACCTCTATAGGAATTTAAGTTGTACATTCCCTCATTAAACTGTTGTAACAAATTTACTGTACTTGGAAGATTCCCTGGAGAAGGAAATGGCAACCCACTGCAGTACTCTTGCCTAGAAAATTCCATGGATGGAGATGTCTGGTGTCCATGGGGTTGCAAAGAGTCGGACACGACTGAACAACTTCACTTTCACAAATTTAATAAGATTTGAATATCAATATAAAAGAATAAGGCTTCTCATTTTGAGCTTCAATGCATTAATAAACCAAATATATTTAAAACCTAACGTAGTCCCTGAAACAATATTTTCTGTTAGGTCACCCTCAAAATCATTAGGATCTCAATGACACACAAACCCAAGTTCAGATCCTTGTAAAATCATAAAACTCAGCAAAATTGAGCTGAATTCCTATATGACAAAAAGTCCCCTCCTTGAGATGGTTTCTGAGTTTTCTAGTTCACTACAGCCATTCCCCATCCCACATACACACACCACTCAGCCACTCATTTACCTTTACCCCCTGGTTTTTATAAAGGCATCAGCTGTTTCAACCCATGTATCCAGAGAAGTGGTTCTCACCCAGGGCCTACCATCACCCAGGGGCCAGCAGGCAATGTCTAGAGAGATTTTTGGCTGTTACAGTTATGGATGGGTGCTACCGGCCTCCAGTGTGTAGAGGCCAAGGATGCTGTTAAAATCTTACAATGCACAGACTAGCTCCCAACAACAAAGAGCTGGCCAGCCTAAAATGTCAACCAAGGTAAGGGCAAGAAATCCAGACCTAAAAGGATACTTCTAAAACTCTCCAACGTGCACAGAGGCCTTACAATGACCTATCATCTTTGTGTGTCCTTGGAACCAATCCATTGACACTAAATAGATCACAAGTATCTTTATTGTTTAGAGTCCTCTTTGGTATTTAATTTCTTAAAATTTGAAGAATTTCTCATTTAAGTTTATTTTTTATTTCCTTCAAAAAACCCTCCTTTACATTGAAATTATTTTGTTTCCTTCTAACCATCCTACAAGTATTTCACGTTTAAATCCTCAGTCCATATGAAATTTATATGCTGGAATTCAGAGATGTAATTTTGTTTCCATATAGATAATCCATAGCTTCAACAGCATTTATTGAATAGTTAATCTTTCTCCATGAGATGGTAACACCAACTTTATCATATACTGAATTTTCATATAAACTCACCTGTTTCCAGGTTATTTTCTATTTATTCCTGAGATGCAATTATTTTAAATTATATATTTTATTAGGGAACTTACTGATTTCTTCATCACACTTCTTTAAATTTACTCTTACCTGAGTTTCAGTATCAGCCCTCAAGAAATTTTAGTTGCAACTGCACTGAGCTTATGGAATAGGTTAAAGATAAACTGATTTTTCTTATTAATGAATATTATATCCCTATTTGGATTTTATAAGCCTCTAACAATTACTCTGTAATTATCATGACAGACTTATTCCTGGGTGCTATATATAGTTTGTTTCTGAGGTTTTTGGTTTAAGTAAATTTTCTGATCTCTAGCACAGTTTTGAAGAGTGTATATCTTCACTTTGGTTTTGACTTTAAAAGGCTTTGCACCTAATGCTTCACATTTAAATGTTACTTTTTTCCTTCTAGATTTTTGGCTAATACTTTCTATCAGGTTAAGAAGTTTTATTCAGTTAGCGGCATTCTAAGTTTTTAACATCCCGAATGGGTGGTACTAAGCCATTTATAAAACAAAGCAACTTTGTTCTTTAAGTCTGCTGAATCTTCTTGGAGGACTTCTTATATTTGGAGATGCAGCTGGAAAGCCTTCCTCCATCTTTGAACCCACCTCCTTTTCACTCCTAGCTTTGCTATCTTTCAGGGGAATCCACTTAGCTTAAATCACCTTTGATTGGAATGCTCTTCAGTTTTCAGAGATTAACCCATTCACAGCACTATCTTAAGGGCTTTAAAAAGTACCTTCTATCATTTCACAGGCAGTTTGCAAGAAATAAAAGTCAAAGTTAAAAGCCCAGCTCTTAATTGTGGTCAACACATACAACGAGGGATAAATCTTTAAGATTCTTGAAAGTACTCACATGCTGCAACATCCTATTCTTTTCAAGTTCTTATTTAACTCCGCAATCAGTGAGCAGGTCCTACCAAAATACTAACACAAATGGACCCCAAAACTTCTGGGTGGCTGAGAAAGCTGGAGGAGGATTTGAAGGGAAGGGAACTTCTTCCATCAGGCAAAAGACCTCTTGAAGTGTTAAACTATTGTGGGTAAACAAAAATTCAGCAAAAATAATCTCTAAGCCTTATAAAAATGAAATAGTATTTCAGAGTATTCTTTCCTATCTTTTTTTCCCCTGTGGGAAAAATATGTTCAGCCTTGAACACTTGGTTTTTCCTTTGTTTCATTTTTTTCTGTGACAGTTAGTAGTGGACAGTTTATATTTTCATCTCATTATCTTTACTCTTCACATAATTAACGGGGAAAGAATTCTTCATACTGGTTTCAAGCCAAAGTGTATCAGCATTGTACTTGAGAAGGAAATGGCTAGGTTCTGGAAGAGATTCTCTACCCGATCCCCAGCAAACATCTCCAATCAAAATACATATGTTGTTGGAGAATTTGTCAGCCAGAAAACAATGTTTGACTGCTTCATTCTGAGTGTTATATATAATTTTCTGAAAATGTCAGAATATCTTATGTAGGCAGCCTGCCTTCAAGTAAACATCTTGATTATAATCAATTTACCTGTAAAGTCTGACACTGTTTTGAGAGCCATCTTAAAAAGCCACAGGTTACTTGCTAATCAAGGACCTCAAAACATATGTGCTGTGTTTAGCTGCTCAAGCATATGACTGAGCTTTAACTTTTTTCTTCCAATCCTAAAAGATTACGCATCTATTTTGTTCTCTGAAAGTTACACAGACATATAATATCCCTTACCCACACATGTGGTGATTGCTGTTGGTATATATCGGGGAGAAACACTGTTCTAAGGAGGAAAAGAAAAACAACAATTTGGCAGTGGGGTTTTGGCAGTGGGGTGGAATCAAATCCAAATTTCCCACTCATTTTTATTAAAAGCAGCTGTTAATGACCTGCAATAGGCAAACAATGCTATTTATTTTTAAAGTGGTCTCCCCCTTTGGGCTATTTTCTATATAAATCAGTCATTTTATGTATTTATTTTCCTCAATAAGTAGGCAAAGGTATTTGCCTTTGCGATTTTTCACTCTGATCCTCTATAAATCTCAGAAACAAGTTAGGTCTAGATTGATATAAAAATGAGAAATGCTCTTCTGCCCATTTTTCTAACAAAAAGATGCTACAAATAAATTTCAAACTTCAGCGCTGTCAAAAAATAGGCCTCTGTATTTTCTAGCAGCAGATAAAAGTACAGAGATCAAAAATCACATAAACACAAACATAGTTTCAACCTCTTGCCGAAAGTTTTCATCTTCCAGGAAACCCCAGCATCTACAACTTACCTGATTTTTTATATAGCTGATAGGAAAACTGCTTTTTGATACACAAGCTTTTTTTGAGACCTGTAAAGCAGTCAGTTATGCCCCCTTCCTTGTATTAGTATTTTCCAGGTCAACAGCTGCAAAGTATAGGAGTAACATTCTGTCTTTAGCCACACTTAGAGCTACAGGGCAGAGAATTCCTCTCAAGATTCTCTCTCTTGTTATTTTAACAAGGCACCCCAAAACTTTACACGACATCTAATGGGCTTGAAAGATTAAGCAGCAGGACTTGAGCTTAGAATTCTCCTTCCTGAGGTACAACAAACCCTTTCTTATGCCTCCTTTCTGCTTATCCTGTGCCTTTCTCCTTCCCCTCCCAACCAACAACTTTTCCCATCCCTGGAGTAACAGCAGAGAATTATAATACTTCAAATCTTGCAATATACTGTTAAATACTGCATTCCCGAATGAGAGAAAGGTTAAAAAAATAAGGAAAATTCTCTTTGGAAAACTCCTGAAGTAAAGGGAAACCTATGCTATCGACTATCTTTACAACTGTGGAAACTTTCAATTTTGAAAAGAAAAATAAAAAAGATACCAGTGGGCTATGGTAGCCTTCAATACTGCACGCCTTCCTCTGTCTTTAATCTTTTTATCTGCTACCAGTTGACTCAGACGCCGACTCAGGGGCCCCTGATGACCGTTCCAAGTCTCCCAGAGCCTCCTAAGAACCATCAAGAAAGGACAACAGAAACGCCCGCGGACCCTCACTCTTAAAATGAAGCGGCAGGAGGCGTGGCCCAACGTGACTAGGAGACCGCCACGCCCACGGGGCGGGGCTGCCTCAGACTCCGCCTCTCCAGAGGCGGGGGAAGCGGGGGAGGCGCAGGAGCCAGACGTGACGCCCTCAAGGAAGCCCGCCCTGGTTGGAGGGAATTTAGAACGCGGAGCGGGGGAAGGGGGCGGAGTCTAGTTTTCCTGTTGTTGGTGTGCCCGCGTCGCCTGGGTAACCGGCGGCGCAGGTCCTGGCTGCGCCAGCGCAGGCCGCGGAGGTCTCTGGGTCAGACCTCGCGCTGGGCTCTTTCGGTCTGTTCCGTGATGGCAGCCGCCGCCGCCGTGGTCGCCCCGTCGGGTTTGGAGGATGAGGTGTCTCGGTCCCGCGGCGAAGGAGCAGGGGAGGTGGTCGTGGAGCGGGGGCCCGGCGCGGCCTACCACATGTTTGTGGTGATGGAGGACCTGGTGGAGAAGCTGAAGTTGCTCCGCTATGAGGAGGATCTCCTCCGGAAGAACAACCTGAAGCCCCCGTCGAGGTGGGTGCCCTTGTCCCCCGAGCGCCTGGATGCCGGCTGGGCCCTGGGGAGAAGCCTTCCTCCGGCCTTTGGGGGAGCTCCAAGCGCGGGTTACCAAGCACTTGCCTCTGTCTTCCTACGCAGCAAAGAGCACTTCACCCCAAACTTGGCGACGGAGGGCCGGATTGCTCACGGAGTTTAGACTTGGTATTTTTGTGGGGAGAGTAAAGTTTTGGAACTTCAGAAAGGACTGCAAGGCAGCTTGCCTAGAGCACTCACGCAGCTCCATAAAACGCAAACTTTTTTTTTTCTGATTGTAAACATAATAAAAGAACCTCCTAGAAAACTCAGAAAACTTACAACGTGTAAAAAAAAAGTACTGCAGTCACTCATGATCTCATCCTCAAAGATGAATGCCATAATCAGTTTAGATCTGTCTCTAGTTTTTGTTTTCCTTTTCGAGAATTTGTCCCTACAACTTGTAACTTTCGTACCTGACACCTTCCTGTGCATTTCATAAGTGGTAAATAAACTTGTTCACTAATTGCTGTCTTTTAAAAGACTTATGTCTTTGCAGTAACAGTACTTTTGGAAACAGGAGTGAACAGGACCAATGAAGTGACAATGGAATTGTCTCTTTTTCATAGAACCTGAAGTTCTGCTCTGTTCTGTTGGGGGGAAAGTCCATCGTATTTTGAAGCCGCGGCTGGTATTAGTTACTGAGGATGATGGACAGCCAGCACTTTCTCTTTAAATCAGTGTAGCCTAGTGATAGACCTCATAAATTTTGTAAATTTCCTTCACAGTAATACTTATATAATTTTTTGTATTAAATTTTTGTGTTTGTTTAATTGTGTAAAAGGCAGTTTAGTTTAAGAATCTGTAGTAGTTTCTCCAAATGGCTATACCTAAGCTCAAATTAATTTCAGATTATTTACCTTGACATTTAAACTGTCATTCCTTATTCTCTTCCAGTAACTTCCATTAGAAGATAATGTTGGCTTCATGTTAACTGCCCATATTGCTAAGCGAGTCCATAATAGGAGAAAAGTTAGAGGAAGAAATAATGTTGCTTGATCCATGATATAAATTGTAAGATTGGAAGTTACTACTTAAATGAAGAGCATAATATAAACAGCAATTTCTGTTAATAAAAATGTGGTTTTTTTCTTCAAGTATCTTTTTCAAACAAAAATAAATTGGCTTTAAGATTCTGTTGATAACAATCTGTTATTTCCTCAGAAGTTCAGCAGGGTACTTTGAGTCATGGATTTGCATGGAGATATCCTAGTTTAAAGGTTCTCAAAGTATGGTGAACAGATTAGCAACATCAGCATCACCTGGGAACTTGTTAGAAGTGTAATCCTACAAGCCCTTTCCTGAGTCCAGTATATCAGAAATCCTAGGGGGTGAGGCATAGAAGTCTGTTTTTGCAGCAAGCCTTCCAGGTGATTCTGATGCCCACTTAAGTTTGAGAACCACTAACCTAGACAGCATATTAAAAAGCAGAGACACTACTTTGCCAACAAAGGTGTGTCTAGTCAAGGCTATGGTTTTTCCGGTAGTCATGTATGGATTTGAGGGTTGGACTATAAAGAAAGCTGAGTGCAGAAGAATTGATGCTTTTGAACTGTGGTGTTGGAGAAGACTCTTGAGAGTCCCTTGAACTGCAAGGAGATCCAACCAGTCCATCCTAAAGGAAATCAGTCCTGAATATTCAGTGGAAGGACTGATGCTGAAGCTGAAACTCCAATACTTTGGCCACCTGAAGTGAAGAGCTGACTCATTTGAAAAGACCCTGATGCTGGAAAAGATTGAAGGTGGGAGGAGAAGGGGCCAACAGAGAAGAATGCAATGGTTGGATGGCATCACCAACTCAATGGACATGAGTTTGAGTAAACTCCAGGAGTTGGTGATGGACCAGGAAGCCTGGTGTGCTGCAGTCCATGGGGTTGTGAAGAGTCAGACATGACTGAGCAACTGAACTGAACTGTCCTGGGTCTACAGTATCTATCAGTATCCATTCCTCTGTCCTGGAGTTGTTATCAGCTAATAAGGGAAAAAAATGAGTTATTAGCAGTGGGTGAACATATACCTACTTGGAAGGACTTCATGGCCTTTTTTTCCCTCCCAGCTGTTATCTTCTAGAACATTTAAACTTATCCTGCAGGAAAAAAATTGGGAAGGAAAAAAAACTGGAAAAAAAATCAGGAAGGAGTAGATTGCTGATTCTTTTGAAAAAGTTATAGTATCTATATATCTAATTATAAACAATAGTAATAGCTTCACATTAAAGCAAAATAAGGTCTTTGATCAAAGTAACAAATGCTGTGGCTTGCAGGGTTTATTCCTTATAAGTTTAGGTGTGAATCATGTTGGTCCTCATAAGGCTATTTTTAGGAGGCTAGGAGCTTTAGCCTAAAGTTCACAAATGTTTGTTTGACTGGGGATATGATACACGGCAGTGGTTCTTAATCCTGGCTGAACCTTAGAACTACCTAGGAAGCTTTTGAAACTACTCTGGACTTCACTCCCAAAAGTTTTGATTTAATTTGTGAGATAAGAAGCAATGTTTAGTCAGGTAGCAGTAGTTTAACAAGCTCTTCAAGTGATTCAGCCAGTTGAGAACAGTATACAGTATACAGCCAATTTGAGAACAACTGTTTAACATGGTGGGTAGGTTAGAAACAGTAAGTAAAGATTAACAGTGACACTGTATAAAAAGTAAAAACACATAGTAACACGATCTTTATTTTAAACTCCAAGAGTCTCTTAAATTTCAAATTACCATTTCAGGAGATATTCTCTTATTAATTATCCTGACACATACCTGATTTTGTTCAAAGTTCTGTATTCATCAGTGCATTTTCTGGGTTAAAGTCTTTGAACTAATATTTTGTGTCCAGTAGAAACTGCCCTTATCCTGTTGGTTAAAATCTTTAATGTAAGAGTGCGGTGGGTTACTGGAAACCTCAGAGGGAATTGTCGGTGTCTTTTGATGTTAGAGTCACTGGGACAAAAATCCTCTGGCAGTTGCGGATTTTGCTCCTTTAGCTACTGTGGACTTGTTTGCAATATTTCATATTCTGCTCTCCTCCTTTGTTTTGGAACAGACACTATTTTGCACTGCCTACCAATCCCGGGGAACAGTTCTACATGTTTTGCACCCTTGCTGCCTGGCTGATTAACAAAGCCGGACGCCCTTTTGAGCAGCCTCAAGAATATGATGACCCTAATGCAATAATATCTAACATACTATCTGAGCTTCGATCATTTGTAAGTATAAACAACTGCCTTCTTTCTTCGTGTTTGCAAGTTAGGACATTTTTAATACTGATAATTCAGCAACATAAATGCTAGCCTTTTAGAAGAATTCTCTGTGAATAACTGTGTGTGTGTGTTCAGTGTGTGTTCATTATTGATGTTGATATGTCTCAGAGATGAATTTATGGATACTTAGTTCTCCTTCTAAAAAATGATTAAAAACTAGAAAGCTGAAACACTATATTTTGAAAAGGAACTTTGATTTAATAGACCATGATAGCAGTGGTACTTTTCATTTCTAACTTTTCCTGGGGACAAGCAGTAAGAATTTTTGGCACACACATTATTAATTTTTGACAAGTGAATCACTTCATCCTTCACATAGTTCTTTAACAATATGATACCAACCTAGTGGTTTTGCTGATTTTTCACCCTAATAACATAAGTGATTTGTTCTGCTGTCATGAGGTTATTGCCTTTTAATTTGATACTATTGCCTTTTAATTTGATACTTTTGACAGTAAAACATCTTCATTTTCCTTTTGTATTTATGTACCAATGGATTTTTAAAAGAAGACTAAAGAGATGGATTTCTGAGAAGCAATGTAATTACAGTTATTTTAAATCATTTGAAGAATCAAGAAGTGATACATTTATTCAGCAGTACTTTGCTTAAAATATTTTGACATTTGCAATATAAATAACAAATAATACCCAGTGTATCTTTTGTATTTCAGGGAAGAACTGCAGATTTTCCTCCTTCAAAATTAAAGTCGGGTTATGGAGAGCATGTATGCTATGTTCTTGACTGTTTAGCTGAAGAAGCATTAAAATATATTGGTTTCACTTGGAAAAGGTAAAAATTACCCATCCGGGCAATAGTAATTTTATGTGCATAGCTTTTTCTTCTAACTGTTCAGAGCTATTTAACTGAACTGATAGGAGCGTTAAACTGAAAATGCCGCAGGTAATTAGAAAAGTCAGTACAGGCAAATTGGAATATCTAGTATCTTCAAAACCAGACCTGCTACTGTGCCCCTTCCCAATCCAAATATATAATTATTAAAGCTTTAATTATAACTATATCCTAGTCAATTTAGTATATTTTTTTGAAGTTTCTTTGAATATATTTATTTATACAAGCAAAGATAGTATATACATGGGAAGTAACTGATAGCCTACAAATTTAAGGAAAAAAATGAAAATAGAGTATTTCAAGTGGGATTTTTTTTTTCCTTTGTTTATAGTGATGAGGCAATTATAGTGCTGAAGAAGACACTGTGTTAGATATTGTTCATTATTTCTTTCTCTGACCTGTGATTTATTTATATTGTTTATATTTGTTTCTGTTGCCATATCTTTCCCATGGTATTAAAGTCATTTGTTTAAAGATCTGAGTTTCTTTCTAGAAATTATGAAATCTTTGTATGCCAGTTAGCATAGCATTTGGTATATCATAGATACTCAGTAAATGTTGACCACATGGATGAGGAGATAAAATATTTAGAAACTGTCGATTTGTATAGGTTATAATTAGAAAATATATAAATTTTGTCTTTTGGAGATTGAGATTATTGATAGGCTAAAAATTATGGAAGGCATTATTTAGGTAAAAACATGAGCAAATAGTGATTTTGGATTAGAACTAATTTCTTGGAAAGGTGTATATATTATTTCAATCTTTTAATGTATTAGAGAAGGAAATGGCAACCCACTCCAGTATTCTTGCCTGGGAAATCCCTTGGACAGAGGAGCCTGGTGGGCTACAGTTCATGAGACTGCAAAAAAGTTGGGCACAATTTAGCAACTAAACAACAACAGATTTTAATGTATATCCAATTACATTATTTCAGGAAAACAATCTACTCTCTATTAATGAATACTTTTAAAAACTTACTTGACTTAGGTTATCATCAAGTTGAACCATATGAAATTACAGATATTCATCTATTTTTTAATTAAGAAAGAGTGGCAATTGCATATGCTCCAACTCAAACATTAGGACTTAGTGCAGTATGGAAAATGAGTATATGATCCACATTACTTCCTTATTAGATTCTATGAAAAGTTATGAGATATCCTACATTTGTAATTTTTATAAATTTTTAAATGTATTGCCCAGTGGATTCTAAATTCAGGAGCTATTAGTATTTCAACTACTATTTAATTTGGTACTTCCTTTGTTTCTTAGTATATCTTATTCTTGGCCACATATTGTAATTTGGATAATTTATAGTGACCATATTATACATGGAGAGGGAAGGAGGAGGGAACATTGAAAATCAGATTAGAAAAACATTGAAAATCAGAATTACGTATCAGCTATGTGATATGTAAGTGACAAGTTACATGTTTGTATATGATTATTTTATATGTTTAAATATGCTAAGATAAACCCTAGAAAGCATAGAAATCCTAGGAAAATATTGCCTTTAAGATATAATCTAATTCTAATTAGTAAAAACAAAAATAGGAAATTTATCAATTTAAGATTGATTTGGTGTGTAGTACTTTCCTTCCTTCATATTAAATGTCAATTTTTGTTTTTTGTTAACCTTTCTGAGGTATAGATTTTTATAAGTTTCCAGAAATAAATGTAAATACTTCTGAATATTTTTAATATGAGAAATATGTGTCATTAATCCTTTTTTAAAGCATTAAAAATTTCAGTATCTAATAGAGGATTATTTAACTTAATTTCAATATATAATCATTAAAAGGAAAGAGAAATAGAAACAATAGAGAAGCGTAACAGCGCATACATCACCAAATTAGGCCAACCAACATCCAGAACTTAAACAGCATGCTGGGAAGTTCCAAATAATAGCAGCCTGGAGTCCCAACTGGGAAAAGTATGTCCACTCCACATCTAAGACTTCAAATTGCAGTTTCAGGGGCTTTTGCTTATAATCCCAGGGTGCAAACTAATATTATCATCAGTATGTGTGCAAAAATGAAGCTCAGTTTTATGTTAACACTTTTACAGTGCTGTTTGTTTTATCTTACGAGTCACAGGATTCCATTAAACCCTGGGCACAGTTGGCCAGGCCTCCAGGAGCTCAAGAATTCCAGGGCCACTCCCTTTCTTATTTAAAGTGCTGCCTGACTAGCTGTGTTTGCAGACAACCATGGAATATAGGCTGTGGCCAGGCACACAGAAGCAAGGTCAAAGACCTGCTCTCTCATGCTTCTGAAGCCTGAACCAAAGCTTCCTCCATTTTAATTTCCTTAATAGCCTCAGGATTGTTTATACTTAAGAGCATAGGAATAAGGCAAAATAACATGAACAGTCTTGTTAATTCTATAGGTCAAATAACAATTCCAAACAGTCAAAAGAAACAAAAAAACAAGCAATGAGTTAAACAATGGAAAAAACTATATCGAGTGATGGGGATATAGTAAAGGAAAAATCCCACCATGAATGGGAGGTATATTTTTGTACATTAACTCCTATATCCATTAACTTATCAGCTATGATAGTAGTAAAACCGTAAAATATTCTATCAATATACAATTGTGTTTTCCTGTGCTCAGATGGTAAAGAATCTGCCTGCAATGCAGGAGACATGGGTTCGATCCCTGGGTTGCAAAGATCCCCTGGAGGAGGGCATGGCGACCTACACCAGTATTCTTGCCTGGAGAAGCCCCAAGGACAGAGGAGCCTGGTGGGCTACAGTCCATGGGGTCACAAAGAGTCGGACATGACTGAGCGACTAAGCACAGCTTATGAAATCTTCTAATACTTTTGTTCCTTGCAAAATCTTCTGTAGGGGTTCTAAGGAAAAGCTAATATTAGGAACAAAGTAGGAAATAACATCGAATTTGATAACACCTGAATTTTCATGGGGGGGTGGGGAATAATAGGTGGTCCTCTTCCAATATAAAAGATCAACATGTATTAAGCATCCAGAGAAAGGGATTCCTAAGTGATACATGGAGCTAATGTTTACATCATCAATTATAATACTTACTAATTGAGGAGTGATTTCAAAAAACATACTGTGGGTTTTAGGGAAAACAGTCCATTCACAATAGTTGATGGAGTTCTCCAATATGCAGGGTTCCCAGATGCAAGAAGTTGTTCCACATCACCGTCTGTCATTAGCCTTGTCACAATCTATCGGTAAGTGGGTGCAACTATTAAAGTAACACATGACATTGGCATATAATCTTTGTGTTCAAGGCTTGAGCTATATCTTTACCAATGGGATGTGTTCTAGCAGACAGATAAATTTTGTCCACAGAAAGGCAGTTAAGAAAGGACAGGCCTTGTTTGCTAGACAAGTGAAGTTATCCTGAGCTCAAGATCCAGCTCAGGTTTCTCCAGTGAAGGTTATCCTATAACTTTCTTCTTGTTTTCTTTTAATCGAGGCATATCCTTGAAGGTTGAGGCGTGAATGACAATCCACAGTACAGTCAGGCTTCTGAGAATAACCTATTCATGAGATTAACAGTGGTTTAATGGCACATTTTTCTTGCCTGGGAATCATCACTAATACAGTATTACCCTTCCCCTAAGCAATCACATCAGCATGTGTGGGAGGACCACTAGGCTGTACTCATACTTCAGCTCCAGGAGCATGTATTTTTTTTCTAAGATCATTATATAGTCCAGTTGTTTTTAAACATGACTGCTCATTAGAATCATATCTGGAACTTTGGAGAAAAAATAGTAGCTGGGCATTTCTATTTTTTCAAAAAATTCCAAGATAATTCTAATGTGCGTCTGGATTTTAAAAAGTGATTACAGGTTTTCCTATTAAATGGTAGTTTTAGTGATACAGCATTCTGTTATTTTCTGTTGACCAATCATGATGCAGTGGTATTAAAAGGGATAATAGTTAAATAATCACAATCACAATAGTAGACGACTTTTATCAGTTTTTATAATCAATAGCCAGACAAAAAGTAAAAGATAATTACAGTTGCAAGACATAATGAAAACATGCTTAACCTAACAATATATAATAATCACATACAATCTAGAGGGTTAAGGAGACTGATGAGGTAAGTGCAAGTGCACGCATGCCCATGTTTTCACCCACCAGCCAGCCTCTGTACTTTGGTATTTAATCCATTTACATTTAAGATAATTACTGATCTGTATGATCCTGTTGGAGACTTCCCTGTAGCTCAAACGGTAAAGAATATGTCTGTGAGGAAGGAGACCAGGGTTCGATCCCTGGGTTGGGAAGTTTCCCTGGAGGAGGGAATGGCAGTCCACTCCAGTGTTCTTGCCTGGAGAATTCCATGGACAGAGAAGCCAGCCTGGCTACAGTTCATGGGGTCACAGAGTCAGACACGACTGTGTGACTAACACAACATGATCCTGTTACCATTTTCTTAATTGTTTGGGTTTATTTTCTGTAGGTCTTTTCCTTCTCTTGGGTGTCCTTCCTAGAGAGGTTCCTTTAGCAGCTGTAAATAAAGCTGGTTTGATGGTGCTGAACCCTCTTCATTTTTGCTTGTCTGTGAAGCTTTTGATTTCTCCACCAAATCTGAATGAAAACCTTGCTGGGTAGAGTATTCTTGGTTGTAGGTTCTCTTCTGTTTTTAGTGCTTTAAATATATATGCCAAAAAAAAAAAATATGCCACTCCTTTCTGTTTCCTAGAGTTTCTGTTTAGAAATCAGTTGATAACCTTATGGGAGCTTGCTTGTAAATAATTTGTCACTTTTCCCTTGTTGCTTTTAATATTTTATCTTTGTCTTTAATTTTTTTGTCATTTTGATTACTGTGTGTCTTGGTGTGTTCCTCTTTGGGTTTATTGTGCCTGAGACTTTCTGTGGTTGCTTCCTGGACCTGTTTGACTGTTTCCTTTCCCGTGTTAGGGAAGTTTTCAGCTGTTATCTCCTC